TTTCCACCGAGTCTTGTACATTTCCATTGAGTCCTGTATATTTCCTTTAAGTCTACCATAAAGTACCGAGACTTGTGCAAGTCTATCCACTGACTGCAGCTTGTGTGGTATTTAAAGCAGTAGGCTACAGTAATGGGGATCTTGCTTCATTACAGGTCAATATGCTTGACTCTACTGCCAGATCCCAGACAGACAAGGAGATACCTCCATTATATCAAGGCCGACTAAGCACACCATCATCCAACACAACAGCAATTTAATCTTTCATTTCCTTACAGTTTAATTCGTTCAGTTCATTGCCAGTTCCCGGAGATAAAGGAGATACTAATTGCTTTCATACAATATACCCATGAGGATGGTAATCAGGTACAAATTGCTGTAGCCTGTCACACTCAAGGGATACAACTCTACACAGAGAATTTACATCTGGGCCAACATAGTACATATTAAACGTCCCATCAGGTATGTTCCATGTGGATAAAACACAACATGTCATAACATGTCAGTTTCAGTGTAAGAAGAAAGTTTATCAATCCTTGTTTTCTACTTTGGTAAAGAAAAACAAGTATGTGTTTGTTGCTAAGAAACCTAGGACAAACAATATGTCAAATCTGGGATTCAACAACAAAGGGTAAAAACTGTGTATAGCAAACCACCACCATACCAACAGTGCCACCCCTGGCCCCTCTCTACAAAGTAAACTGGTTCTATGCCAGGAACTTGATGTAGCTCCACTGCACTGAGGGATGAGAACTAGTAACAATGGGATCTATTGACTAACCTCGCATGTAAGTTCAAGTAATGTTACCGGTACATATCAGAAAATACCCTCAGGTGCTTGAAGATGCACTCAGTTCTCTATCACACTAGCAGACTGGCTAAGCAAGAGTTATTTCTCTCGACAATAATCAGATAATCAGCTGCACTGGGTTCCATCTTATTGAAGTGAGGGAATGAGTTGGGTTTTACGCCGCTTTTAGCAATATTCCAGAAATATCACGGCGGGGGACACCATAAATGAGCTTCACACATTGTACCCATGTGGGGAATCAAACCTGGGTCTTCGTCATGAAAAGCGGACGCTTTAACCGCTGGGCTACCCCTCAACCCCATCTTATTGAACAAATTTGGTAACTATTCTTCATACACTTTCCGCCTAGTAAGATGCAGGATAACCTCATCTGACACATCTCACGTGTTCCTACTGTTGAGATCCCACCTGGAACATCACCTAATATTATCAAAGAGTTCAGGCCACCAAATTTTGATACATTATGTAATATAATATAACAAATAAGTACAAACCCTATCCACATCATAAAAAATCTCTGGTAAAATCTCTGGGAGAATCTAACAGCGTGCCATGTCTAGCCAGGAAGGAATGCCGTCACCAACAGGAACCACAAATGTCTACTCGACCAACTCAGAAAACAGGAAGTCTCCCAGAACAATTAAGGAAAATGACCATGTGCTGTTATCTTAAAACAGGATATATATTCTATAATTACTACACTGCTCTCCACACAGTAAAACAAAGATCACTTAATGGTGCCTTCTTGTGGAATTGTGGTTCAGTAAGTGAAGCCCATGTGTCAATGCTCAATACACAAACATTCTCTCTAAGCTACACCCGGATTGTGTGTGATGTAAAGGTGAGAGGTGGAGGGGGCGTGGCATGTAACACATGGGCCCTGGGGTCATGTACTGGCCATCATCTGGACAAAGCCAGTATCTGTGGGGTCAGGTAGTTTCCATTTCAGATTAAAAAAAATGTTAGTCCCCTAAATGGTTCAAAATCAATAAAAAAAATTGTGCCACGATGAATTTTCACCTCAAAAGTACACTGCTTGATGTGCATTTCAGATCCCATGAGTGAGTGAGTGAGTGAGTGAGTGAGTGAGTGAGTGAGTGAGTGAGTGAGTGAGTGAGTGAGTGAGTGAGTGAGTGAGTGAGTGAGTGAGTGAGTGAGTGAGTGAGTGAGTAAGTAAGTGAGTGAGTTCAGTTTTACGCCGCTTCTAGCAATATTCTGGCAATATCAGCAGGGGACACCAGAAATGGGCTTCACACATTGTACCCATGTGGGGAATCAAACCCGGGTCTTCAGTGTGAGGAGCGAACGCTTTAACCACTAGGCTACCCCACCGCCCCAGATCACATGACTGACTGACTGAGTTTAGTTTTACGCCGCTTTTAGCAATATTCCAGCAATATCACGGCGGGGGACCAGATCACATGAAGCTAAACATATTGGATATGGTATATCTGGGAATCTGAAAATGTGGGAATCTGGGATTAAAACAAACGATAAAAACATTCCACTATGATAATCAAATGAACTTTTATTCTGTCCCCTAAAGTAAAGAGCTTGTAATCAATCAAATCATTATTCCATGAAAAGATGTTCATTCTGAAACTCAACCAACTGCCAAAGAAGTTTCAGCTTTCAAACAGGTGCTTTCATTAACAGGGCATACCTTTGTATTAGGGGAAACTGACAAGTCTGATCAACTGCCAATGAAGTTTTTGACAACAATCCTGACGTCTGCTTCTATTGAAAACAGAGAAGCAGACGCTACACACCTCCACAGCAGACGGACTAGAGTTCCGGATCTGCACAACACAGGTGCTACGGCTTGTCTGGCAGTGAATTGGGCATGGTGATGAGGGAAGAGATAGGGAGCACTGGCTGATGACCAACAGAGTTGTCTGGGGGTGAAGAGTACCACACTGACTACATGGGTGATCTGCACTCTAACACAACAGCCTTCAATCCCTGATGATGCTGATGCTGAAACTCATCAGAAATGGAATGACCTCAAGATCAGGGTTTAACAATGGCAGTGATCTAAACCTCTCAAGACACCGTAGCTTCCACAAAACGTACACTTGTCAGAAGGGTGCACAAAGCACATGACCGAGACGAACAGTTGTCAGACTTTAATTTTGTGTAACCCCAGTAGCCGTGTAGGTTAGATCACTGATTTTGTGTGCTGGCGATTAGATGCCTGACTCTGATAGTTCGGGTTCAAATCCTGGATGTGACTTAAACGAACTGAATCTGTACTTTCCTGAGAAAGCATTATCCCAAATATAATATACGTTGCACTTGACCAGTTTCTAAAAGGCATTTGTGTATTCACATGTTTGTTGTTATCAATGGATCTGAAAATTGTGTTCGTTGAAACAAGAACTTGAGGATCAAATACAATTATCTCAATATTATAAATCAACATTATATTTTATCAATGGTGTCAATGAACATTCTAACTTCCTTCCAAACCAGTGTTCAAAATTAAACATATTTTAACAGATTCTTGTAATTACACTTATGTAAAAAGTTAAGAATTTTGGGGTCCCTAGATTCCAATTCCACAGGAGACGTTCACAAGCACCTCAAAACCCATCTAAATTTCAAACACTGTGAAAATAGGATTTCAATTTATTTTGTTAAAAAGACATCACAGAACCAATTACCCCTTAACATTGTAGAAGCCATACTGTAACATATGTTATAGTTGGGATTACACCTCCTTAGTAAAGTACAGATTCTAATTCTTTCGTTGGGCTGAGTCCCATCCGGGATTCGAACCCACACTCTCAGAGTCAGGCACCTAATCGTCAGCACACAAAGTCAGCCGCCTAACCCGCTCAGCCATCGCGGCTTCCACTAGCCATAATGCATTAAACGGTTAAGAGGACACATCAAATCAGAATCCATCACATGACACACAGCAAGACATAGTGAGACACAGCAGTGCACTGTCTTCCCATACAGTTTCCAGGAGCCATCTCAACAAAGGCATAATGGTGTTGTCCTCTGCTGTAGGCCACTCACAACTGACTAACCTCTTGAGTCACCTTCCCTCTGGGACAAATTACATTGGGAACCATGAAATTTGGTACAAACGGTTAAAACCACTTGTTCTGCAACTTAAATACAAATATTCACAAATTTTCAAAGTTGCCAGAATCTTCAATTATCCATGATTGACTCAAATCCCCAAAGATGCATTTTTCAAATTAAACATGTTAAACAGTGCGATGAGCATGGCATAAAATGTAAAACTATGAGCAGACAAATGACTCATTCACTGTTTCGCTAGTACCACAGTTGAAGAATTCAATGCCCCTGCTGCTCAGCTTCCAACGATGAATCTCTGTCAACACATTTAGAGATTACCTATTCCAGCTGAATAATTAAGCTATATTACTGAACAGAAATTACGGATAAATTGAACCAAAGTTTGCAGCATGAAGTGCCTAAGTTGTAACCACTAGGCCACCCCAGCTCCTAGTTCAGCAAAGTCAACAAGGGACTATCATCATTTGTCATGCTTACTGATTCACAGATATACCTGGAATATTGCTGAGTGCGGCATAAAACTCAACTCACTCACTCACTGATTCACAGAGGTTGCCTTATGATGTCATTGATGTCAACACAAGTCACTGAGGCTTGTTATCAGCATATATCAACCAATAATCAGTCTTCCATCTTCTTCAGTTTGTAAAATGTAATAACCAGTGTCCTGTGTGTCTAAACTAAATGAACCAATATTATCACCTACCAGTGCGAAAATATCGGGGTTCATATTTTTCATACGATGCCCTAGGGCAAAATAGCACTTTGTCATGGTGACGTGACATCATGAACAATGCTATGACGTCATGTTTTTTCTGTGGCGTTGTGTTCTACATTCGGCGATGGCAGGTAGCCAGCCTCTAATTGAAATTAGATTTGGGTGTATTTTTGTCAATTTGGCGACTTCGGTAATAAACAGAATATCATATGAGTGCCCATATCATAATATGTTTGCAACACTCATGCCTAAATATCAGTATATCCCTTGCTCTTGCTCAGGAAATACCAACATTTCGGCCCTCGTTTTGTAAACAAAGTATGACATGGGCACTCATATAATATTCTCTATTTAGTATGACAGAGATTTGTGATGTAATTTGATTGTGACGTCATGGTAACCAATGGCAGTAGTACTCACCGGAACCTCCACATCATCATGGGGGAAGTTGAGCATGTCCCGCTGGGGGTCATTGTGGAGTAACACCTTGTGCTGTACAACGTAAGTCTCATAGTCTATCGGCTCCACAAGCTTGGGTCGGGCCTGGAAGGAACAAAAATACATGTGATAATTTTATAAAAAATAGCATTCTAAGTGCGTTAATCAGTGAGTTGATGGGTGGACGGGTAAGTGTGGGCCTGCTAGGGTACTGAACAATTTACAACACAGTAGGAATTTTAATAGGAATTAGTGAGTGAGTGAGTTTAGTTTGACGCCACTTTTAGCAAGATTCCAGCAATATCACAGCAGGGGACACCAGAAATGGGCTTCACACATTGTACCCATGTGGGGAATCGAACCCGGGCCTTTACCATGACAAGTGAACGCTTTAAAAGCTAGACTACCCCACTGCCCCTTTTAATAGCAAGTAGACCATATATGTTATGCTATAAACAACTAAATAAAAGGACATAAATGCGTGTCTTTTTGCGAACCAATATTGACACACCAGGATGGGCCCCTTGTAATAAAAAACAAGCTCATTTATCAATTGTGCCAAATCATTGCAAACATTCTGACGAAAACTGACACATAGTAAACTGGTCACTGCTTCCTATGATTCTGAAAATAAGGTCAAGGTCATGTTAATGACAGGCATCTGACAAACACCTCTAAAACATCATTGCAGGATGCTGAAGTTCTGGAAATACCCCGGTAACATAATTGGACAAATGGTGGTGCAGATGGACAGAGAGCCTATCGTAAGTCCTCCATTTTTATTGTTTGAAACAGCGGATAGCTGTGATGATGTATATCTTTGGAAAGAGAAATGTCAGTAAAATATAACATGCAAAATAATTCTGATATAAAATTTTGTTGCTATTCTGCATTTAATACAGGTGAACAGAAGAATTACCATATGTCTGCATGCAAATATTTCATGGTCTTGAAATATAAATATTCCTTAGCTTAAGATATCTGGGGGAGCGGTGGGGTAGCCTAATGGTTAAAGCGTTCGCTCGTCACGCCGGAGACTCGGGTTCGATTCCCCACATGGGCACAATATGTGAAGCCCATTTCTGGTGTACCCCGCTGTGATACTGCTGGAATATTGCTAAAAGCGGCGTAAAAGCAAACTCACTCACTCACTCACTAAGAAGTCTGGGTCATATTGAAGAGACAGAAGTATTTCGTGACAGTCAAATGATAATCACTCATCCCTGTTACGGACAGAAACTAGAAGTTTGATAAATTACGACAAGGTTCCTGCAAACCGATATGTAAGACTACCAATGCCATCAGGTTACCATGACAATGTCATGATTGGACAGCTCAACACACATAACTACTTTGTGTAAATGAGTATAAACGATTACACGATCCCTGTGATGGTGCATCTGCCGCCATATTTAAATGTCAAACAGCTGCATGTTATTCAATCACTCCGTAATCACACTGCTGAAGGAAAAAGTATGGAATGCAATAATCTACATCAATGATGTCACGTCTAAAAAAAATCATTCCTACACCAAAACGATCAAAGAACAAAACACAAACTCATGATACTATAAACAGAAAATATTACCATTGTGTTTGCAGTAAAACTCATCTCGATGTAACTTCACACATGTAACATTGTGCCCCAAGCTAGTCTGGTTCATAACGATGACGTACAACTTCCTAGTGCGTGAGGATTATGATTCATGCAGGTAAATACTAACACCTCACCTGCTTCCTCAGCACTGAAGTAATGGAGTCGGAGATATAAGATATAGATCTCAGGTTACATTTGGATTCAGGAAGTTAATGAGAACTAGGTCACAAGCCTTCGCGTTCCTTTCATATTCATCAAACATATTTCAGTTTAGGGCCATTATACAGTCGTAATCTTAATACTCAAAACTTGTATGCTTGTTGGTTTTTTTATTTTGCTTGCCACACTTGGCAATAGTTCAGCTATAATAGTTCAGCTATAAAACTGACAAATTATCACATTTAGACCAGACAATCCAGTAATACTGGTTTCCTACAATGAACATACATTTTCGAAACATTTGAGGACCAAACTCAGGCCTATTACAAGCACAAACAACTAAACAAGTATAGTTTGGATGTTGTTGCTGCTGCTGCTGCTGCTGCTGATGATGATGATGATGATGGAAGTATTAGAGGTATTCCGGTATTTTACAGTTTGGAGTGAGTGAGTGAGTTTAGTTTTACGCCACACTCAGCAATATTCCAGCTATATGGCTGCGGTCTATAAATATTCAAGTCTGGACCAGACAATCCAGTGATCAACAGCATGAGCATCGATCTGCACAACTGAAAACCGATGACATGTGTCAACCAAGTCAACGAGCCTGACCACCCGATCCCGTTAGTCGCCTCTTACGACAAGCATGGGTGACTGAAGATCAATATTCTAACCCAGACCTTCACGGGTCTTTACAGTTTGGATGATGATGATGATGATGCAGATGATGATGATGCAACTATTAGAGGTATACTGGTATTGTACAGTTTGGATGATGATGATGATGATGATGATGATGATGATGCAACTATTAGAGGTATACTGGTATTGTACAGTTTGGATGATGATGATGATGATGATGATGATGATGATGATGATGATGATGATGATGCAACTATTGGAGGTATACTGGTATTGTACAGTTTGGATGATGATGATGATGATGATGATGATGATGATGATGATGATGATGATGATGCAACTATTAGAGGTATACTGGTATTGTACAGTTTGGATGATGATGATGATGATGATGATAATGATGATGATGCAACTATTAGAGGTATACTGGCATTGTACAGTTTGGATGATGATGATGATGATGATGATAATGATGATGATGCAACTATTAGAGGTATACTGGTATTGTACAGTTTGGATGATGATGATGATGATGATGATGATGATGATGATGCAACTATTAGAGGTATACTGGTATTGTACAGTTTGGATGATGATGATGATGATGATGATGATGATGATGATGATGCAACTATTAGAGGTATACTGGTATTGTACAGTTTGGATGATGATGATGATGATGATGATAATGATGATGATGCAACTATTAGAGGTATACTGGTATTGTACAGTTTGGATGATGATGATGATGATGATGATGATGATGATGATGATGATGATGCAACTATTAGAGGTATACTGGTATTGTACAGTTTGGATGATGATGATGATGATGATAATGATGATGATGCAACTATTAGAGGTATACTGGTATTGTACAGTTTGGATGATGATGATGATGATGATGATGATGATGATGATGATGATGATATTAGAGATATACTGGTATTGTACAGTTTGGATGATGATGATGATGATGATGATGATGATGATGATGATGCAACTATTAGAGGTATACTGGTATTGTACAGTTTGGATGATGATGATGATGATGATGATAATGATGATGATGCAACTATTAGAGGTATACTGGTATTGTACAGTTTGATGATGATGATGATGATGATGATGATGATGATGATGATGCAACTATTAGAGGTATACTGGTATTGTACAGTTTGGATGATGATGATGATGATGATGATGATGATGATGCAACTATTAGAGGTATACTGGTATTGTACAGTTTGGATGATGATGATGATGATGATGATGATGGTGATGATGCAACTATTAGAGGTATACTGGTATTGTACAGTTTGGATGATGATGATGATGATGATGATGATGATGATGATGATGATGATGATGATGAACTATTAGAGGCAACTATACTGGTATTGTACAGTTTGGATGATGATGATGATGATGATGATGATGATAATGATGATGATGCAACTATTAGAGGTACACTGGTATTGATGACAGTTTGGATGATGATGATGATGATGATGATTGTACAGTTTGATGATGATGATGATGATGATGATGATGATGATGATGATGCAACTATTAGAGGTATACTGGTATTGTACAGTTTGGATGATGATGATGATGATGATAATGATGATGATGCAACTATTAGAGGTATACTGGTATTGTACAGTTTGGATGATGATGATGATGATGATGATGATGATGATGATGATGATGATGATGATGATGATGATGAAGATGCAACTATTAGAGGTATACTGGTATTGTACAGTTTGGATGATGATGATGATGATGATTACAGGTAGGTATACAGTGCTCAATGAACACTTTAACATAAAAAGTGTTCTTCTTCATCACAACAGCTTCAAAATGCCACTTAAAGAAGGTATACAGCAATACCAAATCAGAGCTGATTGTACTGCAAGAAACAAAGCCACAATGGCATCTCCAGTAAGTCTACCCAACCAATCTATCAGATTCATCCCTCCATCTGTCAGGCCACATGCTTAATGCTTCCCTCTCAGCTTACACTTCTATCCGCCTGGCCAATTGTGTTTAGCATACTCTATCCGCCCAGCTAACAATCCTGTCAGGTGCTAGGGTATATCACCTGTAGTTAGCTGAGGAATGTATCTATTTTGTAGTAGAAAAAAATAATCTATGGGAGGTAAAAGGTGGGAATCTGTACACTCATAGTTCCTTGTCTGCTCCTGCACCCCGTGAACGTGTAATAAAGGCAGAGATATTCAACACTACCGAGTTATGTGTGATATGCTGAGGCTGGGAGGTCCAGATCTGGACTTACCAGAGATGCTGAAAGATGCTCGTCTAAAATCATATGTGGCTAAATAGGCTCATAAGTTTTGCAAGTATTAGGTGAGGTGAGGTGAAATTGGGTTTAACGTCGTACTTGAGAATATTTCGCTCATATGACGATGTGCATGCGTGTGTATGTGTATGTGCGGCTGCTTGTACTAGCCCAGACTTAAGCTGGTTTTATAGTGCTAGCCCACTGAGATACCATGCCGCAGTGAAGCATGAATACCCCACTCAGACACATTATACTGACTCCGAGCCGACCAGTCCTTGTTGAACCCATTAATGCCGAACGCCAGGCAGGGACCAACAAGTACCATATTTTAACATCTTTTGGTATGACGCGGTCGGGGATTGAACCTGCGACCTTCCACTCTCCGGGCGGACGCTCTAA